GATAGAGGGCCATGAGACTTAGACCTGAGTGCAAAAATGGAGGCTCTAGCCCCTTCCAGAGCTGAGATATCGAAACTCAAAAATTCGGCCCGAAAAAAAAACGACAGTGGTACCCCTTACGTTTTTTTTTTTGGGCGAAAAATTAAGTTTCTCCAATCTTCCCAAAACTCTGGATTCTGATAGAGGGCCATGAGACTTAGACCTGAGTGCAAAAATGGAGGCTCTAGCCCCTTCCAGAGCTGAGATATCGAAACTCAAAAATTCGGCCCGAAAAAAAAAACGACAGTGGTACCCCTTACGTTTTTTTTTTTGGGCGAAAAATTAAGTTTCTCCAATCTTCCCAAAACTCTGGATTCTGATAGAGGGCCATGAGACTTAGACCTGAGTGCAAAAATGGAGGCTCTAGCCCCTTCCAGAGCTGAGATATCGAAACTCAAAAATTCGGCCCGAAAAAAAAAAACGACAGTGGTACCCCTTACGTTTTTTTTTGGGCGAAAAATTAAGTTTCTCCAATCTTCCAAAACTCTGGATTCTGATAGAGGGCCATGAGACTTAGACCTGAGTGCAAAAATGGAGGCTCTAGCCCCTTCCAGAGCTGAGATATCGAAACTCAAAAATTCGGCCCGAAAAAAAAACGACAGTGGTACCCCTTACGTTTTTTTTTTTGGGCGAAAAATTAAGTTTCTCCAATCTTCCCAAAACTCTGGATTCTGATAGAGGGCCATGAGACTTAGACCTGAGTGCAAAAATGGAGGCTCTAGCCCCTTCCAGAGCTGAGATATCGAAACTCAAAAATTCGGCCCGAAAAAAAAAACGACAGTGGTACCCCTTACGTTTTTTTTTTTGGGCGAAAAATTAAGTTTCTCCAATCTTCCCAAACTCTGGATTCTGATAGAGGGCCATGAGACTTAGACCTGAGTGCAAAAATGGAGGCTCTAGCCCCTTCCAGAGCTGAGATATCGAAACTCAAAAATTCGGCCCGAAAAAAAAACGACAGTGGTACCCCTTACGTTTTTTTTTTTTGGGCGAAAAATTAAGTTTCTCCAATCTTCCCAAAACTCTGGATTCTGATAGAGGGCCATGAGACTTAGACCTGAGTGCAAAAATGGAGGCTCTAGCCCCTTCCAGAGCTGAGATATCGAAACTCAAAAATTCGGCCCGAAAAAAAAACGACAGTGGTACCCCTTACGTTTTTTTTTTTGGGCGAAAAATTAAGTTTCTCCAATCTTCCCAAAACTCTGGATTCTGATAGAGGGCCATGAGACTTAGACCTGAGTGCAAAAATGGAGGCTCTAGCCCCTTCCAGAGCTGAGATATCGAAACTCAAAAATTCGGCCCGAAAAAAAAAACGACAGTGGTACCCCTTACGTTTTTTTTTTGGGCGAAAAATTAAGTTTCTCCAATCTTCCCAAAACTCTGGATTCTGATAGAGGGCCATGAGACTTAGACCTGAGTGCAAAAATGGAGGCTCTAGCCCCTTCCAGAGCTGAGATATCGAAACTCAAAAATTCGGCCCGAAAAAAAAACGACAGTGGTACCCCTTACGTTTTTTTTTTTTGGGCGAAAAATTAAGTTTCTCCAATCTTCCCAAAACTCTGGATTCTGATAGAGGGCCATGAGACTTAGACCTGAGTGCAAAAATGGAGGCTCTAGCCCCTTCCAGAGCTGAGATATCGAAACTCAAAAATTCGGCCCGAAAAAAAAAACGACAGTGGTACCCCTTACGTTTTTTTTTTTGGGCGAAAAATTAAGTTTCTCCAATCTTCCCAAAACTCTGGATTCTGATAGAGGGCCATGAGACTTAGACCTGAGTGCAAAAATGGAGGCTCTAGCCCCTTCCAGAGCTGAGATATCGAAACTCAAAAATTCGGCCCGAAAAAAAAACGACAGTGGTACCCCTTACGTTTTTTTTTTTGGGCGAAAAATTAAGTTTCTCCAATCTTCCCAAAACTCTGGATTCTGATAGAGGGCCATGAGACTTAGACCTGAGTGCAAAAATGGAGGCTCTAGCCCCTTCCAGAGCTGAGATATCGAAACTCAAAAATTCGGCCCGAAAAAAAAACGACAGTGGTACCCCTTACGTTTTTTTTTTTGGGCGAAAAATTAAGTTTCTCCAATCTTCCCAAAACTCTGGATTCTGATAGAGGGCCATGAGACTTAGACCTGAGTGCAAAAATGGAGGCTCTAGCCCCTTCCAGAGCTGAGATATCGAAACTCAAAAATTCGGCCCGAAAAAAAAACGACAGTGGTACCCCTTACGTTTTTTTTTTTTGGGCGAAAAATTAAGTTTCTCCAATCTTCCCAAAACTCTGGATTCTGATAGAGGGCCATGAGACTTAGACCTGAGTGCAAAAATGGAGGCTCTAGCCCCTTCCAGAGCTGAGATATCGAAACTCAAAAATTCGGCCCGAAAAAAAAAACGACAGTGGTACCCCTTACGTTTTTTTTTTTGGGCGAAAAATTAAGTTTCTCCAATCTTCCCAAAACTCTGGATTCTGATAGAGGGCCATGAGACTTAGACCTGAGTGCAAAAATGGAGGCTCTAGCCCCTTCCAGAGCTGAGATATCGAAACTCAAAAATTCGGCCCGAAAAAAAAACGACAGTGGTACCCCTTACGTTTTTTTTTTGGGCGAAAAATTAAGTTTCTCCAATCTTCCCAAAACTCTGGATTCTGATAGAGGGCCATGAGACTTAGACCTGAGTGCAAAAATGGAGGCTCTAGCCCCTTCCAGAGCTGAGATATCGAAACTCAAAAATTCGCCCGAAAAAAAAAACGACAGTGGTACCCCTTACGTTTTTTTTTTTTTGGGCGAAAAATTAAGTTTCTCCAATCTTCCCAAAACTCTGGATTCTGATAGAGGGCCATGAGACTTAGACCTGAGTGCAAAAATGGAGGCTCTAGCCCCTTCCAGAGCTGAGATATCGAAACTCAAAAATTCGACCCGAAAAAAAAACGACAGTGGTACCCCTTACGTTTTTTTTTTGGGCGAAAAATTAAGTTTCTCCAATCTTCCCAAAACTCTGGATTCTGATAGAGGGCCATGAGACTTAGACCTGAGTGCAAAAATGGAGGCTCTAGCCCCTTCCAGAGCTGAGATATCGAAACTCAAAAATTCGACCCGAAAAAAAAAAACGACAGTGGTACCCCTTACGTTTTTTTTTTTGGGCGAAAAATTAAGTTTCTCCAATCTTCCAAAACTCTGGATTCTGATAGAGGGCCATGAGACTTAGACCTGAGTGCAAAAATGGAGGCTCTAGCCCCTTCCAGAGCTGAGATATCGAAACTCAAAAATTCGACCCGAAAAAAAACGACAGTGGTACCCCTTACGTTTTTTTTTTTCGGGCGAAAAATTAAGTTTCTCCAATCTTCTCAAAACTCTGGATTCTGATAGAGGGCCATGAGACTTAGACCTGAGTGCAAAAATGGAGGCTCTAGCCCCTTCCAGAGCTGAGATATCGAAACTCAAAAATTCGGCCCGAAAAAAAAAACGACAGTGGTACCCCTTACGTTTTTTTTTTCGGGCGAAAAATTAAGTTTCTCCAATCTTCTCAAAACTCTGGATTCTGATAGAGGGCCATGAGACTTAGACCTGAGTGCAAAAATGGAGGCTCTAGCCCCTTCCAGAGCTGAGATATCGAAACTCAAAAATTCGACCCGAAAAAAAAAACGACAGTGGTACCCCTTACGTTTTTTTTTTTCGGGCGAAAAATTAAGTTTCTCCAATCTTCTCAAAACTCTGGATTCTGATAGAGGGCCATGAGACTTAAACCTGAGTGCAAAAATGGAGGCTCTAGACCCTTCCAGAGCTGAGATATCGAAACTCAAAAATTTGACCCGAAAAAAAAACGACAGTGGTACCCCTTACGTTTTTTTTTTTGGGCGAAAAATTAAGTTTCTCCAATCTTCTCAAAACTCTGGATTCTGATAGAGGGCCATGAGACTTAACCTGAGTGCAAAAATGGAGGCTCTAGACCCTTCCAGAGCTGAGATATCGAAACTCAAAAATTCGACCCGAAAAAAAAACGACAGTGGTACCCCTTACGTTTTTTTTTTTTGGGCGAAAAATGAAGTTCTCCAATCTTCTCAAAACTCTGGATTCTGATAGAGGGCCATGAGACTTAGACCTGAGTGCAAAAATGGAGGCTCTAGACCCTTCCAGAGCTGAGATATCGAAACTCAAAATTTCGACCCGAAAAAAAAAACGACAGTGGTACCCCTTACGTTTTTTTTTTCGGGCGAAAAATTAAGTTTCTCCAATCTTCTCAAAACTCTGGATTCTGATAGAGGGCCATGAGACTTAAACCTGAGTGCAAAAATGGAGGCTCTAGCCCCTTCCAGAGCTGAGATATCGAATCTCAAAAATTCGGCCCGAAAAAAAAACGACAGTGGTACCCCTTACGTTTTTTTTTTTTGGGCGAAAAATTAAGTTTCTCCAATCTTCTCAAAACTCTGGATTCTGATAGAGGGCTATGAGACTTAAACCTGAGTGCAAAAATGGAGGCTCTAGACCCTTCCAGAGCTGAGATATCGAAACTCAAAAATTCGACCCGAAAAAAAAAACGACAGTGGTACCCCTTACGTTTTTTTTTTTTTCGGGTGAAAAATTAAGTTTCTCCAATCTTCTCAAAACTCTGGATTCTGATAGAGGGCCATGAGACTTAAACCTGAGTGCAAAAATGGAGGCTCTAGACCCTTCCAGAGCAGAGATATTGAATCCAGAGTTTCAAGAAGATTGGAGAAACTTTTTTTTTTGGTCGAAATTTTGAGTTTCTCTGATCTTCTTGAAACTCTGGATTCTAATAGAGGGCCATTAGACCTGAGTGCAAAAATGGATGCTCTAGACCCTTCCAGAGCTGGCTTGTCAAGTCAGATGTCAGAGCCAGAGCTATTAGTTTTATAAGAGCTAAATCAGTAGAAGTGAACAGATGTTGTGTGTATATTGTTTTAACATTAACGCCAAACTCATCTAATGTTCTTTTCAAATGCTTGTGTTTAAAGGATTGCGTTAAAGCTATCGAAGACTTCTTCAATGAAAAACTCTTCATAATTGGATATGTTGGGCTTGGCATTGCTGGAATAATGGTAAGAATATGAAACCAACAAACTTCTTTTTTGCGAAATTTTTATGCTTAAAGTCAAATCAAAGTTGGAAATACTCATATGCAACTTTATGTAAAGAGCTATCGCTTAATTTTGTGACTGAAACAAAAAAAAAATAATCAGCCAATTGAGATTTGCTTTATAATATAGAAAAGGCATTTGGTTTTCTATTATGTAATGCTTAAAGGGATAGTTGACTTTGAAATTAATGTTTGAAATGTTTTAGCTTACCTCAAGGGCATCCAAGATGTAGGCGTCTTTGTTTCCACAGTATTTTTAATTTTGATATTTTAAGGTCAAACCTTTCGTGTCTATCAGTCATATAATGGAGGTCTATGGTCACCACCATGCACAGAGAAGTCCAAATTAAACATGATTTAATGGCTCGTAAATTTAAGTACACATTGTAAGTACACATTGATGGCCTAAGACATGAAACGATCACTGACACCTACATCTTGGATGCCCTTGAGGTAAGCTAAAACATTTCAAAAACTAATTTCCAAGTGAACTATCCCTTTAAGTGTTCAAATGTTTTTTGGGAACACTGTAGCATGTATTTATTTATCATGTAGAACATCTGAACACCCCCTCACTGTGTTTAACAGATAATTGGCATGATCTTCAGCATGGTTCTTTGCTGCGCCATTCGAAACAGCAGAGAAGTTATTTAGGCGCCTCACAGTTCCCCTCTCGCCCAGTTGGACTGTTTCAAAGCCTACCTTCTTAGACCTCATCGGACCATCACATTCAGGCTTGGGAGCAGGGTGGAGGAACTTCCATGAGGTAGTTTGGGTCTTGTGAACAGCATTCTGTATCTGATCGTTTGTGTCTTTTCTGGTTCTTGCATTGTTTGAAGATGACCTCCACTGCATGGACTGCTATTGTAATCCAATTAACCTTTACATTTATGTTGAATCATTACAAGCGGTACATAGTGTACATCTCTCTTTTTCCAAACTTGCTCTCACTTTAATAGAGAGCTCTGACATCTCGTGTCCCTGGCCATTTTCTTACTGATGTAAATAAGCTTCCTGATGCCTCTTATTGATTGACTTATTTCCTGTTATTTATTGTGTGAAGTAGATCAGGTTTTCTGTGCTAATAGATAAAGGGTCATATGTTTGTGTTTTGCTGGTGATTAATATTTGGTTATTGTAATTGTGCCACATCATATAGATACTGAATGAAGCCAAGGAGTGGAAAAGTATGATTTTTTTTAATGTGTGACTTAGTAACGTTCCTGGTTCTAATGTAAAAACATGAGTGTATGGTATTCCAAAGAAAAACATTTAGCTTCTTAATAATCTAATGTGATGCTTGCTCTTTCGCTGAAACCTTTTGAGTTTGCTGCTATTGGTTAATGTTAACCAGTAAACCAAATTCCTAATTGTTACTTTTTTATTTAAAGTTGATGTAAAGCAGCAATAGTAAATCATTTGTAAAAAATGGAATTACCACTGGGAGGAGAGGAAACTCAACCTTCAGACTCCATGTTCCACTCTTAAAAAATGTTTTCATTCATTTGTTTTTTCAAGCGTGACACTTGTTTAAGTGGTTAATGCACATTACCTTCCTCACTTGGCTGATTTTGAATCTGTAGAGGTCAAACACCAGCTATAGGGGAGAACATAAATGTAATTTGCAATATTTCTGTAAAATTGAACAAAAGCAGCCAAATCAAAAACATATCTAAAATCGTCAACCATTGCTTCTCTTTGTCTTCTGTTCAAGAATGGACCCAATAATTTTATTAATCGATGTGCCTTTACAAAGCCACATTATACATGTGTTTGCAGAACAACACATTTGAGTTCCTCAACTTCAAATACTTTATAGCATTGTGTTGCATGTAAATGGCTTTGAAATGAGAAAATATGGTCGCAGGTCAATAAACCCTGAACAACATTAAAACAGTGCTCACAAGTAAAAATTTGCTTTTTTATTTTTGCATGTTGAATAATAGCACCATTTCCATTGAACAGAAATGAATACATGTTGCACTGAAGTGTTATTGTTGGTAGATGTTAATACTGAAGTCAAAACATAGCACTTAAATATACAGCGTTTTGTTCAAGGCTGGGTGCCTCAAACTTTATGATGGATCAACTTTTTGGATAAAAAGAATGACCTATGCTTTGAGATTAGAAATCTCAAGCAACTAAAGTTGTAACATGTGGTGGTCCATGTAACGGAAGGAAATGCAATAAAATGTCTACAAAATTGTTATATGTTGCATAAAAATGATATGCATCAAATGTTGGTCTGTTTTAGGGAAACCATCAAGATAGACCATCAAGTACCTCACATACTTTCCACAAATCGGTTCATAAACCACAATGGAGGACATGTGCGTCAACGGAATAAAAGCCAATGATATTCCCTAAAACTAGTAACAAATTTTAGAGTAACAAGGTCTGAAGTCTTCAAAAGCATCAAGTAACCCTATTGTTTAGACACTGAAAACAGTGAAAGTAACAGAAATAAATGAATTCTAAATCAGGGAAAAGACAGACAAAAGCAAGTATTAATGCAAAAATAATTGTACAAAGTGAATAGATGGAGGTGAAAAAAAGAGTCAACAAAAACATTAGTGTCATTACAGCAACACCAGTCTTCCTCATTGAGGGGAAACTTTCACATATGCTTCTAGAAAATGTAAGCACATCATAAGCGCTCTCCTCCAGACATCCTTACCAACAAGTGCAAAATGTTGGCTACAGCCCATCAAAGAAGCCTGTAAACCAGAGGAAGTGCGGTAAGGCTGGATAAACTCACAGGAACTTAACCAGAGGAGAACTTGCCGTTCTCTCGCCAACTTCATCATCTTGATTAATGTTTATCTCTTCTTGTAAATGTACAGTTGGTTGTGTAGCTGCCACAGTCTTGGTCGACTCAGAGGTATGGGTGTCTGTTCAGTCAGAGATTAGCTTTAGGGGGGCCTGGCTCATGATAAACTCTCCGACACCGATGAAGTACATGACCTGCACGATGCCGAACAGCGGTGCGATGACTAGAGCCCTGCAACCCGCACCCTTCAGGAATGCAGACGGCCCTTCTCGCCTGAAGATCTTGCTGTGGGAACAAAGAAACAGGCAAAGGTCACACACAGTAGATGATATACTCACACTCCATAATTACAGATCAGTTAAATTGTAACATTTAAAGCAAGTAACGGGACTGATGCATCACCTGAAACAGTCAATTATGCCACTGTAGGTTTCCTCATTGGCTCCTTTGTTCAGAGACTGCAGCCTGGTCTTAACCACTGTTAAAAACAAAAGACAAGGTGAGCATGCGCATTTCCTTTTAAAAATGCACCAACAAGATTAAGAGGACAAAATAAAAGAAGCTCACCATCACATGGGTTAACAGCAACAGCAGCTGTGGAGCCCGCAACACATCCAGAGATGAAGGACCAATAAAACGGTGCCGCATCTTCAGAGGAGGGCTTACCCAACTTGTTCAAATTGGCAAAGAGTGGGAAGTAAATGATCGAAAAAGGTACGTCTCTAAATTGGAGGAAAAAAAGAACAAAAAGTTGCATTTGTGTTCCCAAATATTGTAAAAGTTTGCTTTTTACAGTCACAGTAACAAGTGTACAATGTATTACCTCAATAGAGTTGCTCCAAGGCCTTTGTAGAGCCCCTGAATGCCTTGAGTGTGCAGTAACTCACTTGCGATCTGGGTGGCAGATATGGCCCTGTGTGAAGTGCTGGGTATCACATTGTAGGAGCGACTCAGCACCGCGTTTGTGGTGGCCAGTCTGTTGGGTGTGATGATGCCTGGTTTTCTTTGCTGAGCGGCTATAAAGACGATCAGAAATGTTGGTCCAAGTGAGTAATAAGTACAATAAGGGATAATGTTGATCATTATTGCTAAATAAACTAACACAGGGTTGTTCTGATCACCTTGTTGGGGTTACTACATTATCACACCAAAATAAATTGACAAGAAATTGATGAGGAATAATGCAACTCAGCAAGCAGACTAAAGTCCTGCATATTTTCGATTTCGGATTTTAAGGATTATGAAAACAAGATCAGTAAAATGTAAAAAGTAAAGCTCTTAAAGTGACAGCAGCCTGATAAACCTGCAGCAGTCTGTCATTGAAGATAATCAAACAAACGACAAAGGAAAATAAATAAGTTATTCAGATCAGTGAGTCTATATTTTTAGGTAGTGTACAGTATGACGATGCCATGTTATATGAAGTGTTGTTTTACATGATTATAGTTCTTCATTTTATTTTATCTGAATACCACTGTTTGTAAATATTCCCAAAAAACTTGTTTTGTTTGCAATTAGTTTGTGTTTTTATTGTATTGCTGACAGTTTGCTTGTCTTGTGTAATTATTTTGAGGACCTTTTTCTTACATTAGAAATTGGCTCATTTTACAACTCCCCCAGAGTTAAACAGTTTTACCATTTTCGAATAAATTTAGCCGATTTTCTGATATTTTGAAGAATATCAGTAACCAAAATTTCGACGAAAAAACCCAAAAAACAACGACAGTGTTACCCCTTTCGGTTTTTTTTTTTTGGGCGAAAAAATAAGTTTCTCCAATCTTCTTGAAACTCTGGATTCTGATAGAGGGCCATGGGACTTAGACCTGAGTGCAAAAATGGAGGCTCTAGACCCTTCCAGAGCTGAGATATTGAGATATTTATCTGAATATGAGCATATAATGCATACTGGTATCTCAGTATCTCAGCTCTGGAAGGGTCTAGAGCCTCCATTTTTGCACTAAGGTCTAAGTCCCATGGCCCTCTATCAGAATCCAGAGTTTCAAGAAGATCAGAGAAACTCAAATTTCGACCCCCCCCAAAAAAAAAAAAAGTTTCTCCAATCTTCTTGAAACTCTGGATTCTGTAGAGGACCATGGACTTAGACCTGAGTGCAAAAATGGAGGCTCTATGGCACCAAACGTCACTGGTGAGGACAAAAACAAGTGCACGGACAGATACGTATTTGGCAGGGGAAAAATGATCAGAAAATGTAATGAAAATGTAACAGAAGTTGTAGAAATGTAGTGGAGTAGAAAGTATAATAATTGCTGCAAAATGTAACAAAGTAAAAGTAAAAAGTATGCGCTATTTATTCTACTTAAGTAAAGTAAAGATGCGTGAAAAATGTACTTAAGTAAAGGAACAAAGTATTTGTACTTCGTTACATTCCACCACTGCTTCCATAGTACATATTTTTTCCTACTATGGAAGTCAATGAGACCAGAAACCGTCTGGTTACTGATATTATTCTAAATATCAATTCAGCCGATTTTCTGATTCGAAAACGTTAAAACTCAATTGTTTAACTCTTGAGGGAGTTGTAAAATGAGCCTATTTCCAAAAAAAGTGGAGTATCCCTTTAACCTAGTATTAGTTTATGACTTTGATAATCATGATTATTATTTTTGACAACTGAGCAGCCCTACTAGATTTCCCTTCTGCAATAAGCACAAACAGGAAAACCTACCTAGTCTCCCAGCATCCTGTAGTTGAATTTTCAGCATCTCCATTGGAGTGGTGATGACAACCTGGCACATGCCCGCAGCACATCCAGCCAACATCTCTTTAAATACAGGCAGCCCTCTCCTGTAACAAACACGGCAATGATTATATAACAGCACAGATGTTATGTTGTAATTGTTAGGTAAAAGCAGATAATGAATAGCACCAAGTGTAGCAAACATACCCGTCTTTGGAGAGGTGGTGCCGGAAGAAGTCATTGGCTGCCAGTTTGATGGCCTTCTCAGGAGTGACCAATGTAAGATTAACTGCGGCACCTAAAAGACAAACAAAGAGAGGGTTAATAAAGCACACCACAACTGATCACAGATCAGCAAACACACATTCCCCACCACCATCAAACCAGAGATAAAGCTACAACATGACCTTATCAAGTACCATTCAAACAGATTACAAGATAAAAATGCCACTAAACAGACTAAGAATATAAGCATAGCTTATGAGAAAACTGTGAGATGATGATGGAGGGGGATTTTACATAATGTGAATAAAATGAAAGAAAAAAAAAAACTATAAACAAACAGAGGATATTAGATGTATAGGATAGCTTTCAATATAGAGAGAAAAGGCAGCCACATTCCAGAAAGAAACTGACATTAGTGCTGTGCAGTATGACGTTAAATACAGAGCAACTGTAAAGGTTTGTGAGATTCGTTAAATCTGCAAACAAACCGCTTCCAATGAAGACGGCTTTGCTGATGTGTAGTTTCGACGTGTTGCGTGTGCTAACTGTAGCATTAATAAAGTACATCAACTGATGGGCAGTCACGGCTATTTTACAACACCTTAAAATGTTGCAGACAATTATATTCATAAAGCACTGCATTTTGAGAGTTTAAACTCAAGTGATAGCCTATGAAGTAAAGAATCTGTTTAACACTGATAAATTCACACATGCATAAGTCTGGCATTAAGTTTAAATAAATAATATAATATAAAAGGAAAATAAGATCAAGTAACATTCGATTCACTACATTACATAATCATGTAATAATGCCTGTTTTCAGTAATGTATAAAATGTTTTTTTCTTGAATTCAGGCCAAAGTAATGGTGATAAATACAGTGCAGTCAGTGATGCAAGAATGTGTTCATACTGCCCAGCCCTAACTAGGACCAAGATACAACCGTTTAAAAGACACAGCAGTTATTCACATGATCTAAAAAGAAGAAAGCAGATAATGAGCTTAAGTGATGATATCTAACAAAACATTCTAGATGTTATCAGAACATGGCAAGATGGGTTAGTACTGAATGAGACAAGAGCAAGGACAATGAAGAAAGTGAAGGAAAAAAAAAATCTACAAAGAAACAAGAAGCAATAAAGTAAATATCAAAATGATACAACAATTAACTATAAATAAAAACAACAAAAATATTGGTGCCTAATTGTAATAGAGCAGAGTGGGTAAGAACCATGATAAATGATTTGCCTCCAGCGTGGCTGCGCCTTATCGGCTAGCCTTCACTATGCCAGCGGGGACCCATGTCTGTAACATGAAAAACACAGATGCAAACAACAGCATTCCTCACAGAAATGGAGACCCGGCACAACACCGACTCCAATCTCCCCCAAACTCTACAGATAATACTCTTCAAGGACACTTCTATTGGCCAGTTGAATAACTGAAGCCAAACAACCGATCTACCAATTGTAATAATTACAACATGTTTGATTTGCTTAATTTAGAATTAACCCTCTGATGCATTCAATGTTAAAATAACATGTCTTAAGACTTTAAAACAGCATCTAATCATTCACGAATTATTTATTTAAACAACTTTCTTGAATTTAAAATGAAATCTGCATTTTGAAAGATTTAAAAATGAGATTGCAAATGTACTTGGAGCATCACCACTTTCGTGAGCTACGTGGTCATGAATATGAAAGGTCATGTAGAATTATGGCTAAGGGTAAATATACATCACCCCATTGTGGTTTGGATGTAACATCATACCCTAAATGGTTAAAATGCCATTATAGTGGACCCCATGCATCAGGGGGTTAAAAATAAGGGATATGTATGTAATAATCTAGGTTGATAGTGCATCCATTTTACCAACAAAGTATTTTAGATCAACTCTTTGAAAAAAATTAAGACTGTTCAGATGTTGGGAAAATGCTTAAATATTGCTATAAGTGCAACAAATTACAAGAAGAAGTCAGAGTTTACTATAACCAGCCAACCAATTCTAGTTCATTATCCAAAGTCATATGGACTGGATTCCTCAAGTCTATTCAGGTGTACCCATCATGCCATTTAAGAAACTATACTAATCTAAAAAAAGGTATACTATATAATGTACAGACACCTATAAATAAATAAATGAGTGAATCTTACCTCTATACATGCCAAAGTAACCCTCAGATCGCACTGTTTTGATGAGGCAGTCAATCCTGAAAGACACACAAGACGTTTTAACATGGACCAGTCTACTGGTTTCCACAAATTAACCGTTATTAACAACAACAGCCATGGGCTCTCGGTTCACTGTGAACGTGTTCGCATCACGCACGGGACACAGTCTGGCTTTAATCCTTACAAGGCTTTGCAGTGACCATAGCGGCCACACCATCATGTCAGGCGGCAACTAACGCCTGCCCACGCATCACATTCCTCTAGGATTAGTTTCCAATACAAGGCAGCTTATCAAATCAAAGTAAGGGGTCTGACGCACAGCCATGACTCAAACAGGAGTACATTATAGCACCACTAACATGGTGTTTGTGAATTGAAACGGAAAAGTAACTGAAGTTTTGAAGCATTGAGAAGTTAAGAAAACAGGCCCTTACATGCTCTTGTAGACTTGCTGGCCTGGTCTCTGGTTCTGGAGTCTGGTTTTAGCCAAATCAATGGGAAAGACACAAGTGACCCCAACGATGCCAGCAATACCACCGTTAATCAACTTGGCAGGGAGGCTAGAGGAAAAACAAACAAAAAGAGGTGAGAATGAAAGCATGCCCAATAAATAAATAAATAGTGTGTGTATGTTGCTAAAAAAAACACACACAACTAAAGTACTTTTCAAAATTCCTAAAAAAAATTAAAAAATAAATAAAACTTAAAAAAATAGTCATTTCAAGGAGTCTTTTATCAAATTCACTTAAAAGACATTACACACATCTATATATCCTTTTGATATTAATGAACTTATCGATTAATGAATATACACACTTTCTATGTTTATAAAATATTTAACTAAAGGCAACTCAGATTCAAGATGGTGTTTGTCAATTCATTAACATCAAATAGAAATTCAACAGAATAAAATCACCCAGAAACGATTTAATTCGTTTAAACAAAACGTTAAAAAGTACATAAATTATGAATATTCTTCTGTACCTGATCTGTTGAGACATTATGAAATTTCAGAAAAAGATCGAGAGTTTGATGAGAAGTTCTTGCAGTGATCAATGAAGTAAGTACAGACCACGAGTGAGGAGACCTGGAAGTAAGAGACAGAGATGACTGTGTTAACGGACTGATATATACTGCATATAAGCCTGTCTGCACGTAATCTACAACCGGAAAAAATAACTTACACCTCACCGTCATTAAGCTATTCCTACGCGTCTCATTACGCTTTAATCCCCTGACCAAAACACTGACAGATAAAGGTCAAATGACACGAACTCGCTGACTTCCGGCTAGTGTGTGTCTCTGGTGTGGGTGGGTGCGCGCGCATGTCTTAGCACGCCTGCCCTGTGCGCATGCGTTTAGTTCCGTCAGGGCTTGGCTTTGCCTTTGTGTCGTGTTATTGGACTCATTTCCACGAATCGGTTCTTACGAAACCTCGCGGGCGGGCAGTTCTTACGTCCTGACGCCTGACTAACGTAATTACGCCATCAAGTTGTCTCCAACATCTCGCAGATTAAATGTTCTAAAACGTTCTAATAAAGCCATATATATATATGATATGATGATATATATATATATACAGTCAGTTCATGACTCGATAAACGTTCGGACAATTTCGTGAACAACTCATTCAAACTAGTTTTTTGAACTGGTTCGAAAGAGTCGATCCAAAAGAAGGATTCAAATTCACTTCAGAAGAATTTAACAAGATTGCTCAAGAGCCAACATGTTTCAGTGACATTCCTCTCACAAGCCTTTTGCTTCAGCCTTGCACAGAAACCGCAGATCTGCATGTTATTTCTCCGTTAATTTACAACACATGCAGTTCCATAGTCTTAAAATATATGTATATTTGTGGCTGCAGCAATAAAGACAGACAAATTGTATAATAACAAAACAATAGTGTCTAGTAAAAGCGGAAAATTCAAAACTACGAGCCGGTAAAGGAAGCTTCTAGAAAAGCGGAAATGAATGAATTAACTTACCCGGTTTCAACTAACGGTCTAAACTGCAGGTTAGTTGCCAAACACACTTCAGCCGGTTTAAATCAAACACTTAAGAAAACACACACCTCCACCACTGAAAATATTATGAGTCAAATGACTTGATATTAGCCTACTAATAAACGTTTGGTCGGTGCATAACACTAAACATCTCTACTATGTTATCTTTTTTTTTACTTCTATGTTACTACAAGAACATAACGCTGGTTTAGGCTTTTCCTAAATAAACACTCACCTCTGAAATCGTACAAATATTTTAATGAGTTTCGATACCAGAACCTTCTTCCACGAAGAAATTTGAATGAATGGTTCAATGGAAATTTCCTTTCAGTTTTAATACAGGAGGCGGGCCAAGTTTGCCGGGTGTAAATCTACTTCTCCAATCAGGCCTCGATGCCTATTTGCATATCCACGTTCATTCGTCACTCAGTAGGCTACTGAGGACCTCCTCCTATGAGTCAAAGCCGAAGGGTGCATTGGTGTAGCCATATGGAAAGCTACCGGTGTTTTAATATAATAATAATAATAATAATAATAATCAACATCAATAGGAAAAAGACAACATTGCTTACACTTTACAAACTAAATCTATCTATCTATCTATCTATCTATCTATCTATCTATCTATCTATCTATCTATCTATCTATCTATCTATCTATCTATCTATCTATCTATCTATCTATCTATCTATCTATCTATCTATCTATCTATCCATCTATCCATCTATCTATCCACCCACTAGTTAGCAAATTCTCTTGATTGCCCTGATTAACATTAGAATGCATGCATAGATATGGTAAACATTGTATAAAGGCCAAACTTGCAAAACGAGCTTCTATTTTTTCACCTGAAACCCTGTTTCTATAAGCTGTGTCATGAGGCAGTGTATACTAGTTTGGTCTAAGTAGCCTAACTGTGATTAAGAGATGTAGAACGATGCCACCCTCTTTCTACAGATCACGATGAAGGCACATACCTGGAAGTTTCTAATCTAACAACACTTCTTCTCAACGAGATTAAGTGAAACTCCAGAAAGATCCGTGTTAATCTTTGTTTCTCTGGTTGAGGTTGGAATACAGTTCTAAATTAAGCAAACAGTTGTCAGATAGGCTTAAAATAACACACAATGAACTTGCAGGTGTTATAGTGAAAGGACCAGGCATGCAGCTGGTGGTTATCAGTCACTACCAGCTTTATTTAGCTCATTGACTAATAGCATGTGATCCATGGCTATTGATCAGGGCTGCGTTTCCCAAAAGCATCGTAAGCCTAAGTAGATCAAGAAGCATTGCCAGCAATGGTGTCTAAGATAAACATAGGTCACAGTGCTTTTGAAAAATGCAGCCCTGATCTAATTTAGATACAAAAAGCAAATGTTGGTTTATTATATTGCATGGCTGTGGTTTCTGTCATGATGCACTTCTTTTCTCTTGAGCTTCTGACTTGTTGAGACCTGAATGACATCTGAAAGTTTTTAGGTCACGGTAAACATCAAAGACATGTCTGGAATGTATCTTAAAGACTCTTAAAGATAAGAATGCAGCGCTGTTAAAGTTCAGCAACATCAACCCCACTGAAATTCAACCATTGGCTTCTCAACCTTTGGTTTATGTTTCAAGTCTAGCCAGTTAGCAGGAGGAATGTGACAGAAAAGAATTCCACTGGACACTGAACACAGAGGGAAGGTATTCTAGTCCCACCAACCCTGTAAAAGACTGCTGAGCGGCCAGATTCCACCAGCGTTATTGTTTGATGTATTATAATATTAGGGCATTAGATTATCACAACACAGACTCATGCGCTATTGTCAAGAAAGCATCTGCGCCATTCTAATTTGATTGGCCAGATTGTGACCAAGCCGACAGGAATCCTTGAATAATATAAAGGGGATCACAGTGGAATGGCCATCTCTACATGTGAGGCGAAACGAACAAGGAGAAATAATGAAATAACAGCTGATGAATGATGAAGACCAACTTCCCATATTGCTATTGTGTAATCCTAACACATCAATAAAACATATTTGGGTGGGATACTTTTTAGGACATGTAATAACCTCCTCTTTGGAAACAATTGAAAGGGGTATGTTTGTCCTGGTTGTTAGGACACTGACTGGGAGGCGGAACATGACATTTCATTTCAAGCGTGTAACCATGGTGTCAGTCCTCAATCCACCTCTAGGCAATTCTTTCCCAACCCTCCCCTGTAGCCCTTATGTTCTGACACGTAATAAAAGAAAGATATATTATTGCGTGACAGCCATAAACGAAAGACATAGTAACGTCTGGTTACGATTACCCATAAAATACAATATGGGTTGTAAAGACAGAAACAAAAGGACTAGAATGAATGCAAACTGGGTTAACCATCCTCTGAGTTTGTAATATAAATAACCCATAGCTATTTGCCTCTCTAAATATGCATTATCTAGCAATGATTGCTCATTTACTCACAGACTATTAAAAGTCAATGACGTTGTTTGGTGGTTCAATATAATCAGGTCTTTTAATGAAAAACATTTAGGCAAAAGAGTGTTTTACCAAGTCTCAGAATCAGTATTCAAATGGTTCTCTAAGCAAAGCAACATTGGTTCAGCCGATGCTTTTAAGGTGGGACTTTCTGCTGATGACTAATGGCATATAGGGGGAATGTTTAGGGAACTTCTCTATCATCATTTGCATTCATTTTTGTAACTACGAGGCAGCAACTTTGTATGAATTTGTATTATGTGATTTGTATGGAAATTTGAGGGTTTGTTTCGAAAAAGTAACCCTTAAAACTAAGCAGATCGTACAAAAACGTACAGCAGAGATAGAAATTCATATGAATTAGCCAATAATTTGCAAAAACATAAAATGGTTCTGTGACTGAAATTACTAGCTTGGCCTCTTGTTATTCTTTGATCCGTTGCATGACAAGCTGGATGAATAATTTCATAAACACCCTTTGTTAAACCATAAGCACTATAGTGATAAAACACATTTTTATGGAAGGATTTTACTTTTAATTTTTTATAGAAACTCTGCCGATCAAACGTTAAAGCGTCATTAAAGTTGGCAGAAGGTCTATTATCCATAAAAGCTTAAGTATTTGAACCACACCATTTTTTAACCACTATTGGCCTCATTAAAGACATCAGATGCTTGATTTAAAATACAGCAAACATAATGAGTTAGGTAACTTGAGGTTACTCAATGATTATCTAACAAACAATTGCACCCAGTCAACTGCTACAACACACACACACTTTGTTTTAAATTAAAGGGATACTCCACTTTTTTTGGAAATAGGCTCATTTTACAACTCCCCCAGAGTTAAACAGTTGAGTTTTACCGTTTTTGAATCCATTCAGCTGATTTCCTGATATTTAGAAGAATATCAGTAATCAGACAGTTTCTGGTCTCATTGACTTCCATAGCATATATTTTCCCTACTATGGAAGTCAATGAGACCAGAAACGGTCTGGTTACTGATATTATTCTAAATATCAGAAAATCGGCTGAATTGATTCAAAAACGGTAAAAATTGTAAAATGAGCCTATTTCCCAAAAAGTGGAGTATCCTTTTTAGTTTTAGTCAAGAAATGAATGATCAAACATTACTCGTACTGTTCCCAATATGGCTGGATGTAACTGTTCTCCTCAGGGTCGGGGTACAGATGTCGGACAGGTTTGGAGCATTTCCTTGCAGCGCTGCTGGTTTTGTGGGCACATTCGTCACTGTGGGTGTTACAGGTGCTGCAGTGGCAACTAAGTGCCACTGGATAGGTGAAATGAGGATCTGCATATGAAGGACAGCCAGGCAAGATGGCCGTCCGATACTCGACTTCCTGATAGGTGCAGCCTCTCTGAACCAGGAAACGAGGACCCACCAACTCCTTCACATTACTGTCCTATAGGATGAATGTAGAGATGCATATTTAGCCAAATTCCCACTTAATCATTTCAGAAAACATTTGAGGGTTTTGTTTCTTAAATAAATTGTTTATTAAATTAATTTACTCATTCTTAAATTAATACACATAAAGGGGACCTATTATGGCCCTTTTCAGTGCAAAGAAAAGTTAAACCCTTTTAACATTTTTGGGACTAATTATGAAATCACAGCTATAGAAAAAAAAATTACTTTATATTTTACATACATTTAAGTATAAAAATCATTTCCCAAAATCTGATTTTTTTTTTTTTACAGTGCTGTCATTTATAAATGACTCTGTCATATTAGGGTAAATAATTTTGGCAAATTTTCTGAAACTTCACATACACTTAAATGCATTTTCACAGTCTGAAAAGTAGTGGAAAGGTCTTAGTGTTTCAAAAAACATCACATTGATTTTAACATTGTTTCTTTCTTGGAATTCCAAACCAATTGTAGCACAAGTGAAAATCGACAAGACGTTTTCAGTGTATAACTGGATTTTGACATGTTTAGTCATCATTTATGGAGCACCCCTGCTTGTGTAGTGAGGCCAATGGGCAGTGGTGTCTTTCCTGACCTCTGGTTGTAGTATGGATCACATCTTCCAAACATAGGATAGGATAATGTACTCAAATGCCGGACTTCCACAACAATCTATAATTTATATTCTTCATCTCTGTTATCACCCTCACTGCTTTTATCCTCCTTGATGTTCAACTTCTTCCTTTCGCCTTGTTTTCTGACGCACTACTGTCTCTAATGGTAGTTTCCCCCCTCTGTCTTCTATAAAACTAACATCAACCTAAAACACAAGCAAAAAGGCTAGCCTGCTAGTACTGAACAATAGTGACATCTACACAGAAAACGCAGGTAATTAATGACAGAATTTTCATTTGTGGGTGAAATGGACATTTACTTTAAAGAGAGTATGATCTTTGTTATTCCGTGGAATACAAAATGAAATGGAAAAATCTCATTTGTGTTCCACAGAAGAGCAGCGAAGTCACATGTTTGGCATGGGTGTGAGTAAACGGTGACAGATATATCGTCTTTTGTCACACTGCATGCTGGAGAGTCTCCACAAAACACTTTCTGTCCTCACACTGTCTGCTTACCCTGGAGAAGCAGAAGCCCATGCAGATGGTGGTGTTGACAGCCACACAGTAGTTACACTCCTGTCTCTCGAAGTAAATGGTGTACTCAGTGGGGGCACACATAGGCGCTGATATCTTCATCAAAAGTCCCAGCATGCCAACCACATACAGAGGAGACATTGTATCTGGCAGGGTTTCAGGATGTCTGTTAGTGGGATATGGAGAACTACAGTGAATATAATTCAAAATTGACTCTAAAAATCACAAATATAGGCATAGGTAACTTGGCAACATGATTTAAAAGTCATCTTAAACTGGATTTGGCATTTATTGTGAAATGTGAGTAGTGATAGCATTGCACAAGTTGCCACTGTGGCTTGTTGTGTGTGGTTTTGTGTTATGCTGCCAAGAGCACCCGGGAAACTCTTATCTCGGAGTCGGTTATTACGACATGTCAACATATTTTGTGAACAATTAATCCATATAACCACATCTGAATTCAAAATGATGAACATTTCTATCACTTATTTTTACATGGTTTTACAACCTTTGTATAATTATGAAACAAAAAGAAGAAATTATATTAGATGTAAAGTCACAATTATGACATGAATCACAATTATGGGATGAAAAGGTTTTTTTTTTAATAAAAAAGTAGAAATTCTGACATTTCGTTTAAATTTTGAAATCAAAAAGTCAATTTTGACATTAAAAAGTCATAATTATGAGATAAGAAGTATAAATGATAACAAAATCATCATAGTTATGATCTAAAAAAGTCATAATTTCGACCGCTTATCTCAAAGACTGTCAATGGCTTATTGTGTCATAAATAATTATTACTTTTTTATGTCATAATTTTCAACTTTTTATCTCATAGTTCTGAAATAAAGTTAAAAATTGACTTAGTGTGTCATAACTATTACATGGCATGTCATAATTTCGGCATAGTGTGTCATAATTTCAGCTTTTTATATCATATTTAAGACTTTTTTAGTCATAATTTCAACTTTTCATCTCATAAATATTACTTAGCATGTCATAGTTTTGACTTTTTATGTCATAATTATGATTTAACAAAGCATATTTTTTTCATATGTGGTGGAAATAGGCTTCTATGATTTCGTGGCTCCACTGACAGTGAAAAAAAAACATAAAGGGTCAACCAAGAGAAAGACACTTTTTTGGACTATAACTCAAATACAGAATCTCATTGCTATCTTTTCATGTGTCTTTCCTACTTTTTGGCTGCCAAACAAACAGCAGTGTTATAGTAAATCAAAAGGATCACTTACCTAGAGGATCTGCTTTAACCTGCTTGTGTCGAAAGGCTTCTGCTCTTATTAAGACACAGAACCTGATCTCTGTCTCTTTTATCTCCATCATCAGCTACAGTGCAGCATGCATACAAATGACTCTTTCTAATCAAATCACTTACATGCGACATGGTCACTGTTAAGGGCCTACTAAATATTCACACTGCATCTCAATTAGTAAGGTTTTTCTAGAGGAGAGTTTCAATTAAATTTCAACTTACCGTTAGTCTCAGATGTTTCTTCTAAATAAAATGACTTGCAAAATTAACATTAAAAATAAAGAAGAAATCCAAAAATAATTAAAAGCAAGTGAAAAACAAAACAACCCCAATACATAAATAGACACAAAGGATACAAATTATTTTACATGTTTTTAATGATTAAAATTAATTTTGGTCTTGGAAGCTATTTTAAGCTATTACTTAAAGGAGTAGTTCACTTTTGAAAAAACTTTTGCTGACAATTCACTCACCCCCATGTCATCCAAGATGTCCATGTCTTTCTTTCTTCAGTCAAAAAGAAATGAAGGTTTTTGATGAAAACATTCCAGGATTTTTCTCCATATAATGGACTTCAGTGGGAACCAAATGGTTCAAGGTCCAAATGAGTTTCAGTGCAAACTGTTCAAAGTGCTTTAAACGATTTCAGTTGACGAATAAGGGTCTTATCAAGCGAAACGATCGCTCATTTAATAAATAAATAACAAAGTTTAAGTTTTATAAGCTCAAATGGCCTTGCTCTGTTCTGTTATGCGCGTTCATGACTCTCCTGTTCGAACTCGTTCATCAAAATGAACAAATCTTTTTCCAAGTCATTTGGTTCATTCAACGAAGTAATTGACTCGGAAAAATATTCGTTCATTTTGATGTTTGTACTGAAAGTGTCTTTTGGACCTTGAACCGTTTGGTTCCCACTGAAGTCCATTATATGGAGAAAAATGCTGGAATGTTTTCATCAAAAACCTTAATTTCTTTTCGACTGAAGAAAGAATGACATGGATATCTTGGATGACATGGGGGTGAGTAAATTATCAGCAAAAGTGTTTTGAAAAGTGAACTACTCCTTTAATATTATAATCTCTGAACTTTGTTTGCAATTGTGTAGCCCTTGCAGACATTGTTGAGATCTCATTTAATCTCATGAACAGACATGATTATAAGAGCCTTTTTTCCAGGAGAAAAAACTGAGAAGCTGGAGACTTGAATCAACATCTGCTTTCGCAGGAGAAACAAGTGAGATCTCATTTGGGATTTTCCTTTCCTACACAGTAGCTTTTTGGGTCTGACCCAGTATCAATGTTGCAAATGAATGACAGCTTCTTAGGCATAAACACACAATTGGTCACTTTTCCACAATAACTGCAGGATTCATTTAACACTTTTTTGGTGTTCCTAAGATACTCAGAGTTTAAATATATCTTATGTGGGTTATGTACACAAATCAAGCTGGGTTATAACAAAACATGGCAACAAATGGGCTTCATTAAGTCATCTCGCTTGGCAGATCATCACACTCCTGATCTTTAATAAAGATACACACTGTCAGTTCAGTCAATTTACAGAGCTCTCATTGTATAAATCTCGCAGGCCTTATCTTCTGTGCAAAGTTCACAATAATGAAAATGGAAAAGTAAATGTGTGCAATCCTTTCCACCTGAGTGATGTGTATCTTCAGCGCTCAAATAGGAGAAAGAATGCCATTAAAAATTGTTTTGCAGCTTGGAGCAGCATCAAAACAAGATGTTGTTTCGACAGCGTCACAGATTAACTTCCTCAACCGTCACAGCACCATTACTTTTGTTGTTTTACATGCGTGAATGGTAAGGTTACCGTTCACAGTACACCTGTGCCATTGACTGTCTATGAGATTTTACAGCTCTTTTGCTTGCTCATATCAATAGAGTTTCATATGCAGTTAATAATTTCTCTATCTTATCGCGTGTATTTCTGTCAAGCTGTAGCTGATTGGAAACTGCTCACGGTTTCTGATTTACCTGGACCTGCCGATAGATAATGATTCAACACGACCTATGGGAAACTTTTTAAGCTAAAAACAAGTCTTATTTCAAGTCAACCTCAAAACAATACCAGGAACTGAGGAGTTTGGGCTCACAATGAAGTGGTATGTTAGTCCTATTCTGAAAGTCCTCTGATCTTGTTAAAAGCGATCTAGTTGTTCTTTTGGTTTACATTGTTACCTTATCCCCTAGGAGTTGACTGACTAAGCGAGGTTAAAGTCAGCACAAGGCATCCTCCTGAATTCATTTTAATTTGACTAAACTGTTGCTTCAAGATTAGGGATAAAAAAAACCATTCACTTCCTTTTACAATATAACTTGATATATCTTCTGGCCTTGAGGGATCATTAACCCAAGTTTTTGTTGTTGCTGGTCCAAGATTGCAGAAGAATTCTTATCAGTCATTGGCATTGACCGGAGCTACTTGGTTTCGTGCTCCTGTTGGCAAAAGCTTCAGAAGGAATTTCCAGCAGAACATCACGTCTGAGCGGCGTGACACCGGCTATTTAACTTTGTAGGGTCTCTCAAAGAGCATTTTCCAAATCATGCCGGGCGGAGGTCCAGTTGCGACGTTCTCAGTTTGGGACTATGTGGTGTTCGCCGGCTTGATCCTATTTGCTGCGGGCATCGGCTTGTTCCAAGCCATCCGTGGACGCAAGGAGGCCAGCAATGAAGAGTTTCTACTGGGTGGCCGTCAGATGACCGCAGTGCCTGTGGCTTTGTCCCTAACGGCTAGTTTCATGTCAGGGATCACTGTTATTGGCACCCCCGCAGAGGCGTACATTTACGGCACACCGTTCTGGATCTTTGTCTTCTCTTATGCCATCATGTCCATCATCAGCGCTGAAATCTTCGTGCCTCTGTTTTACCGCCTGGGCATCACCAGCACATACGAGGTAAGAGAGCGACACAGCCCAGACTCAGACAGTGAACACCCATTTGAGATTACTTCAGTACAAAAGGTTGAGTAGACAATATATCACTCCAGTTAAGTTACATCACTTTAACCTGAATATTCCTGATATGTGCTACAAATGTAAACAAGAAAAGGGAACTTTATTCCACTGTATGTGGGAAATATGCACTAAAGTTAATTGCTTTTGGTTTAAAATACTTAATATTATAAGCCAAATCATTAGTAAAGCAATTCCTCTTGATCCAAAGCTGTGTATATTGCATGTTTGTCCTCTGAATTTTAAAATCACCAAACATGAAAGATCATTGTTAATTCTTTGTTTGTTAGAAGCTAAATGTGTAATAGCATATACTTGGAAAAAAGAAGAAAGGCCCGGTGTGTCTCAATGGATAAAGGGGATGACCTCACATCTTGCCTTAGAAAAGATTACCTACTTTTTGAAAAACAAGCCAGATACCTTTTGGTCCATTTGGAAAGTGTTTTATAACTTTTTGGAGAGTCTAGATGGTGACTCCTTCTTGGAATTGATGGACATTGAGAGTATAGACAATTAGCCTATGTTATCGCTGTTTTTTTCTTTTTTTGTATTATTATTTGTGCATTTTATTTTTTATTTATTTCTTTTTTTTATTGTTGTAATGGAAAATGGAAATGTTGTTTAATTTTGTGTGACAATTTTTGACAAATAAAATTGTTGTTAAAAAAAAAAAAAAGAGAGAGCGACACAGGCCACAAGGGGTTTGCATGAGGACAGGCTGGAAACACCCTCATTCGTGCCTGTGTTTGATAAAGAATCAATAGATGGAAATGCAATGAGGACAAGAGAGAGAGAGAGGAAAAGGAAAAAGTAAAATGTCAGGATAGATTATTGACAAATGGTCACTGTATATGAAGAAGACTAATTAAAATGAAGAAAAAAAGCAAAGTATATCAAAATGAAAACAAAATGATATATATGTAGTGTTGGAATATATTCTTTGAGTGTATTTCGAAAACAGCCAAACTAAAAGAGTTCGGGTGACGTGACGTTGAAGTTATCAGCACACGATTTTTACAGTACGATTAACCTTTAAAACAACGATGATGTTAAACTGAGAAAAACAGTATGTAATGGTTCATCGTACAATCTGAGTTTTGTGTAATGATGTAAATGATATAATGTAAATTTGTTGTTTGGTTTGCTAATAATTAATTGAATTGGTCACTTGTTTTTGCAGTACTTGGAAATGCGTTTCAACAAGCTCATCCGAGTGATTGGAACCAGCCTGTATATTGCTCAAACCGTAAGTTGGATTTTAGCTTCATGCATGACTTTATACATAACCAAACATGCATCTGACGAGTGATTGTGCCATCGTTAATCACTTTGGAAAAACAATGTCTGTTGTCTATGTCATAGAGTCATAAATGTTGAACATATTGACGAATTGTAGGCAAAAGAGATTTGTTCAATCATCTAATGGGTGGTGTTATCTCTCATAGGCTTTATACACAGGCATGGTTATCTATGCCCCTGCACTTGCACTTAATCAGAGTAAGTAAAGAACTATCTATCATTTATTAATGTCAAAAACCATTTAACAAAGCCTGATAAGAAATAGTAATGGCTCCCCATGACTTCACATATGTATATTAAACCAAACAATGCTTGTACTTAAATGCATAACAGTGATTCTTCAATTAGAGAAACTTGTGTCACCAAGGATTTTAGGTAAAGACATGCTTACAAAAATTGATATTTAGCTTTTATGTACAATAAAAAAAATGAATAACAAAAAAATATCCCCAATACAAAACATTCCCAACTATGATTCATTGATGAAATAGTTTAAAGACATTTTGAGCCAGCAAAAGTGCCCCTAATTGATAAAACAACCATATGGATGGTTTACACCTGGTATTAAGATGTGTTTTGGTCGATCGGATCTCAGACGTGGGAGACACATTCCCATTCCCATGTTTAAATCTATCCTCTTTCTACCACTTCTGTCCTGATTTCTTCTATGGGCAGGTAAATGTATGCTTATTTTTTACATCTTTCGATCTAATGGACAAAATAAGCTCACACTATTTACATATGAATGTGACTGGAGACGACGGAAAAACATACGGAGAGCAGATGTTTTAGTTTTTGCTCTGATAGCCTCAAGACCAGTGTAGCTGTGAGTGTGTGCTAGAAATCAGGAATAGTGAGAGAACATTGTGCTTGATTTACGTTTTTTTTTTGTTGTCTTCAAACCAAACTTGGGTCTTCAGCGGAGTTCAGGTCGAACAGCCGCAAAAGACGCCCACTCTGCACAAACATGGGAAGCACGCTAGCTAGACTGGATTTAAACTTTGTCGGCTGAAGACCCAAGTTTGGTTTGAAGACGAAAACAAA